CTCTCTCTGTAACTCTGCCTCTCAAATTTTTTAAAATGTAAATAATATTATGTGGCAAGCTACCTTTGGTATAATAGATAAAATGGAAAGGAAATGTATAATCCCTGATTACAGACTTGAAGAATGCTTCAGTAGAGTTGCCAGTGTAGGCTAAGTTATACAGGAGTAACAAATGACCTCCATCTCCATAGCTTCGAAGACAAAATGTTATCACTCCTATTTCACATCCACTGAGGATTGACTGCACCTCTGACCCACACCACCCTCCTTGTGAGACTAAGGCTGATGGGCCAATCCTTTTGCAAGTTTCATGGCAGAGAGAAAAGAACATGGAAAACTATGATCTCGATAGTAAACATCTCTGTGGGTGTGAACCAGATATTTCTGCTTAGCTTTCAGTGGCCAAGCAAGACACATACCCACCACTGAGTGTAAGAAGACAAAAATGTATAACCTCTAGTCAAGGGCATCGTCACTCACGTGGTCCACTCTGTGGACAGTACCACAGTGTGTGTAAGCCTCCCACTGAGAGCAGAGCCTACTAATTATGAACAGTTATGCAACTTGCCTCTAGGGAGATAGGATGGAGATGGATACTTGTCACTTTGCACATGGGTCTGGGTGACTAGTGATGTATTATCTATTCACAAAAGTAACCAACGGCTAAGTCATGTAACTCTAAAAAACATCTCACGTCTCCCCTTCCCTGTGACATGAGCATTTGAGCCCACCGGTATGTTCCTGATGTCTTGCTGATGGTAGTTCTTAATAATTGTTGCTCATGGCCAGTGCCGTGGCTCACTAAGCTAATCCTCCGCCTAAGGTGCCAGCACCCCGGGTTGGGGTGCTGGATTCTGTCCCGGTAGCTCCTCTTCCAGTCCAGCTCTCTGCTGTGGCCCAGGAAGGCAGTGGAGGATGGGCCAAGTGCTTGGGCCCTGCACCCGCATGGGAGACCAGGAGAAGCACCTGGCTCCTGGCTTCGGATCAGTGCAGCGTGCAGGCCGAAATGTACTAGCCATTTGGGGAGTGAACCAACAGAAGGAAGACCTTTCTCTCTGTCTCTTTAACTCTGCCTGTCAAAAAATAATAATAGTAATCGTTGCTCACAAGTTCCTCGGGATCAGTAACACTGAGCAATGCAAAGGCAGTTATTTGTGCTCCATTAACGGAATAACTGCTGGAGGGCCATGCAGAGAAATGTGGGTCTGTATCTTGTTTGGGACCCACAAGATTCAGTGGGGAGCATCACAGCCAAAGAGGCCTTCACCAAGTGTAGCACTCAGGGTGCAATGGGTAGGTGCAGACCCAGGGCAGCTGGCCAGTGTGTAAGCAGCAGGCAAGTCAAAGTGCAGCATCAGGAAATCAAGGCCAAGAATCAGACCTGGGAAAGACAGAAAGTCATTCACTGAAAGATGAGCTAAGAAGCTAAGAAGATCTGCCCTGGGCAGGAAGTCAGGTGCAGGATGAAGTGGGGAGAAGTTCAAGGCCAAAGACAAGAACAACAAAAGGAGCCAATGCCCAGGTTCTAGGCTGCTGCTGCTCAAGACCATGCAGTAGCACCGAGCGTGGACCACCCCTCACCAAGGCGGGGCTGCGAGAGCACCATGACTGTGTTTATAGAGTTCAGTCTTGCAACGCAGACTCATATCGCTCCAATAAGCTCAGCGAGCAGCGTCCCACAGCCACCACACCAGCGTGGCGGGAATTGCTTGAGAGGTTGAAGCTCAGAACTGCTCACTTGCAGGTGTTCTAGAGATGCCTAGGTGGCCTTCTCATGGAGACGGAGGGCTGCTGGGGGACCGCCCCTTCACTGACCACCCTCTCCCTGCTGTCCACTCTGTCTTCCAGTATCACTTCAACCCCTCGCAGTCTATCCTGGTGATGGAAGGCGATGACATCGGGAACATCAACCGCGCACTCCAGAAGGTCTCCTACATCAACTCCAGGCAGTTCCCCACGGCCGGGGTGCGGCGCCTTAGAGTCTCTTCCAAAGTCCAGTGAGTAGGCGCGAGGGGGCAGGACTCGGGGTGTTCCCTTGATTTGCCCTCTGCTTCTCTGCAGTGCCTAGGAAGATGCCTCAGTAGATCTCAGTTCTCCCTTTGCTATCCTGTTACCTGTTCTGCCAACTCTAATCCACCTCTCTCTACTGATTCTGTATCTGATTCTAGTGCCTTGAAGGACTGCTTCCTATAAATTCTCAGAGAACTCAGTTTTAAGTTCTTTGATTCAAGGACACGACACCTGTACATAATAGGCACTTGATAAATATTTATTATGTTGAATTACATGAGCCCACCTAGCTTTGTAGAGTTCCTAAAAGCTGAGTGTTCCAGAGAAAGAGCAGGCATGGTTCTTGTGCCAAGGGACCAGTTAAATTAATGGGAGGAGATTCTTTATTTGCGTAACTCTCTTACTGGGCTATCAAATCTACTCTCAGCTGGGCAGCCGGGGAGGGGACCCCAGAGAGTCTCTCAGGCAGTGGCAGTGGAGTAACGAGGCACTTGTCCCTGGGGAAGGACTTGGGGAGGAACAGGGTAGGGAAAATGCTGACTGCAGGTGGCCAGAAAACACCTTGCTCACAAAAAACCAATGCGCCTAACAAGTGGACGCTGTCTAACGTTGCCATTGGCTACTTGGGTAAAGGTTTGGCCGGCTTACTAGGCTAATCCTCTGCCTGCGGCGCCGGCACACCAGGTTCTAGTCCCGGTCGAGGCGCAGATTCTGTCCCGGTTGCTCCTCTTCCAGTCCAGCTCTCTGCTGTGGCCCAAGAGTGCAGTGGAGGATGGCCCAAGTGCCTGGGCCCTGCACCCACATGGGAGACCAGGGGAAGCACCTGGCTCCTGGCTTCGGATCAGCGCAGTGTGCCGGCCGCAGCGTGCCGGCCGCAGCGGCCATTGAGGGGGTGAACCAAAGGAAAAAGGAAGACCTTTCTGTCTCTCTCTCTCTCACTGTCCACTCTGCCTGTCAAAAAAAGAAAAAAGAAAAGAAAAGAAAGGTTTTAAGGCTTGCTTGTTGCTCGTTTAGGAAATTCCTGTTTCTTCCAAGAGCCGATCTTTCTAGTCCGTAATAGCTCAGTTTTAGGTCTGAGCACCTGTTGAGGTCCTCAGAGACTCCTAGGCAGGCAGGTGGCAAGTCCTTGTCTGTGGCTGGTTCAGCCCATTGCTGCTCCGAGTCCTGATGGAAGCTGTCTCCCCAGGTGCTTTGGGGAAGACGTGTGCATCAGCATCCCTGACGTGGACGCCTACGTGATGGTCCTGCAGGCCATGGAGCCCCAGATCACCCTACGGGGCACGGAACGCTTCTGGAGACCGGCCTCTCAGTTTGAAAGTGCCAGGGGAGTGATCCTCTTCCCCGACATCAAGATCGTGAGCACATTCGCCAAGGCCGAGGCCCCCGGGGATGTGAAAACCACAGGTACGGGTGCATTCCCACCTGGGGGGTAAGGTGGACTTTACCCTCGCACAGCCTTGAAAATCCAACTCCCAGAAAACAGCATCGTTCACCATGGCAGGGTGAAATACCTGGAAACCACCCAGCTGAGCAACAGGAGAGAAATGAGTGCCTTAGCAAATCATGGCACACCCGTGGGAGAGATGTAAGGTTGGAGGGAAAACATTTGAGCTAAATGTTAAGTGAAATAAAAATGAGATTCCACAGCCTCAGGTCAGGTCCTTGGCCTCACGGTTAAGCAGCCAGCTTCCACATCTCACAGCAGGGTGCCCAGTGAGAGTCCTGGCTCCGCTGATTCCAGCTTCCTGCTAACATGCACCCTGAGAGGCTGCAGGGGATGGCTCAAGTGCTTGGGTTCCTGCCAGACACTCGAATTGAGTTCCTGGCTCCTAGTGTTGGCCTGGCCCAAGGCCAGACGTTGTGGGCATTTGGGGAGCGAACCAGGGGATGGGAGCGCTCTCTCTTTCTGTCTCCCTCTCACATAAACTTTAAAAATTGCAGGTAGCTACACATAGCATGATCTCAACCATGCAGGAAGAAAAGGCAAGAAGGAAACACACCTGATGCTAACAGTGCAGTTTTCTGAGAAGCCTGAGGAGAGCCCATTTGTTTCTGCTTCCCTTCCCTTTTGGAACCTGCGGAAATGTTTTATGGGGGGCATCTGTTATTCTGATCAGAAGAAAGCTAAAGACGCACAAAGAAGGAACAGAGCTGCATCTTAATTGTGTGCAGTGACAGTTGGGGCTAATTCGGCGGCGCTGCTCGAAGCGCTCAGGGATCTTCCAAGTTGTTATTTCTCAGTTTCATTCTTGGGAGGGCTGTTTGTTCGGGGAGAGGGGAGCAGTAGCACGGAGAGCTAGGGGACTGGGAAGGGGCAGGAAGGGAACAGGGAGAGAGGGGAGCAGGAAGGAGGCAAGAAGGGAGCGAAGCCTTGCTTCTGTCACCCACAGGGACCCAGGTCTGTAAGGGACATTCCCAGTGGAGAACTACCTTTTGCTGCCTTTTCTAAGAGAGCACTTTCAGCTCTCCCCTTCTCCCCCCGCCCCGCCAAAGCTCCAGCTGCTGCTGCGCTGGTGTCAGTGGGCCCGAGTCCCTGGAATAACCCTAACCACCCATTCCCTTCGTGCACAGGGTGCTTGGCTGGCCGCCCTCTGGGCTCATAAAAATAGACCGTGTTCCACCAGCTGGCCAAGTTACTCACCGAGGGCATTAGGTCGTGTGATTGTCTCTCTCCCCCTGCCCCGTCCTCAGACAACACAGGGGAGGGGCCCTGACCTCAGTGGTTGCAAGCAGTGCCCGAAAGCATTGATGAGCTTCGTCTGACCCCCGCACACAAACGATGCCAGGGACAGCAAGAGTCTGGGCCCACGTTCCACCTTGTGTTTACGAGAGGGGCACGCAGGGCACAGGGCCAAATGCCCGGGAGCTATGACTAGTACCTGCACGTTCTTACCCTTACTGTTGTTCCAGTAAGTGTCATCACAGGTGTTTAAACAAGCAGGCTAATTGCATTTGCCACCAGGCCTCGTGACTGGATACAGCAGCATCTTCTGCCCCCATTCACCTGCTCTTTCTGTTGTCTCAGTCCCAAAAGCGAGAGCCTGCCCCCACCACCCACACACACACACACACACACCCCTCTCTCACACACACCTTTGCTCAGCCCTCTGCCTCGGTCCCGCCATCCCCACTCTCTGCCCACTGCCTTCAAGGCCGCCTCCAGCAGGCCTCCCCCGACTACCACCCTGACCCCAGGCTGGGTTTGTCGCTGGCTCTACCCTGCCCCTGTGAGAACTTCCCTGTAGCACCCATCTTTTAGCCCATGGTGGTGATAATCTGTTTACTAAACCAGAACAGGAGCCTCCTGGGTCTCAGCTATGGCTGAGTCCTCCCTGGGTCCCTGAACCCAGCACAGTGGGAGTCCAGGAAAGTGTGGATGGAGGTGAATACCTTAGTGCACAGGTGCACATGACAGCCTCAACGTGGCGCTACCCAGCGCCAGCTCTGTCAGGCAGTAGTGCAAGTGGGAGCAGGGATGATCTGGCCAGAACTACAAAAGGGCCATCTGAAATACAGCTACACAGACACGACTGTTAACAAGACATTGTCACCCGTGTGTATTATTATGCTTATGGAATTTGCATGATGCATGAAAACATTGTTGTTTGGTCAGCATTTAAAAATTAAACATATAGAAATTACTTATAATAATATACATCTAGTGAGAGCCAAAAATATTTTGGTTTCATTAAAATATTAAACTAAATAATTATTTAAAATAATTCTTATCTTTCATGATCTATAGCTGAATTTTCTATTTCCATACCTGTTTCATGATGGATAAATAAACTTACTTGAAAGATCTCAGTTCACCAATTTTTCAGGAAAGAAGTAGAAGATAAAAACATTTGAAGGAGAAGGCATTTTGCCTAAACATTAAGGTTCTTGTGTCCCATATCAGAGCCCCTGGGTTTGATACTTGGCTCCAGCTCCTGATTATAGCTTCCCTACTAATGCAGACTTGAGCAATGCCTCAAGTAGTTGGGTCCCTGCCACCCATGGGGGAGACCTGGATGGAGTTCCCAGCTCCTGGCTTTGGCCCTGGTGCAGTCCTGATCATTGTGGCCATGTGGGGACTGAACCAGTAGAAGGGAGCTTGCACGCTCTTTCCCTCTCTCTCCCCCTTTCAAATTAAAAGAAAATTTTTTGAATACCATCGGATCAGACATTATGAACTTCCAAACCAAAGGGTCAGAATGAAATGGTATTGAGTTCCAATGATTGCCTTACTCTGTGTGTTACCTTGGACAATCCAGCCCTCCGACCCTCCCTGATAACCATATCCCCTTTGAGGTTTGGATTACATTTGCACAGTGCCTGGCACATGGCATGCACTCTATAAATATCATCACCTTTATCTTAAGATGAGAGATTGTAACTTAGGACAGCCGAACTGTCCTGTATTAAATACTCAGACATTCCCTTGGGAACTTTGGAGTCATAAAATAGGGCAAAGACTACTAGGCTGACCAACTTGCTAATTAATTAATCCATTATTATTAGTTATATTGTGTTGACTTGTGTTAATTAATGATCCAACTCCATTGAATTCCACGGCAGCCCCTGTGTTAGACACTAAGATTTCCTTCAGGAGCTTCTGCCCTTGAGAACCTCAGAGTCTGCTGGGGAAGACAAATGCAGACACGGAGGCCATGGGCAGAACACTGCAACAGCCCCCAGACGAGAGCCGTTGCTTACTGGGCAGCTGCTTGTGCCAGGCACTGTCCCCATTCCTCTCATTCCTTGCCCTCTTCACAGACAAGGGAACTGAGCACCTGACACCCTCCCAGTGGCATAGTTGGTATTCAAATTCACACCTTTTAATGTCTGTATTTCTGCTTTTCCCACTAATTCATGCCACCCAATCTCAGGGCTGCCTGGACATCTGAGCAGTGGACATGGTATTGGATTACACAGCTCTTCTCCCAACCCAGCCTTCCCCTGGGGTACACAAACAGAGGAGGGAAGAGCACTGAGTGAGGTCTGGTATGAGCTGTTAGCTCATACCTGTGCTTCCCACGTGTCTGTCTTCCCACAGCCCCCAAATCAGCAGTCTTAGATGAAATGCTTCACAACTTGGACTTTTGTGACATTCTGGTGCTTGGAGGGGATTTGGACCCAAGACAGGAGTGTTTGGAGCTCAACCACAGTGAACTCCACCAACGACACCTGGATGCCACTAATTCTACTGCAGGCTACTCCATCTATGGTAAGGCCATCCTCAGCTCCCCTCAAACCCGTGGTGTCTTCTCAAAATCACCTTGTCCAGGGGAAGGATGAGTGTGACGACCTCTAGGGAGATGCACTGTGAAGCCCCAGGGGTCAAGTGGAGACCCTTGACCTCAGAGCATGGATCCCCTGAGCTTCCTTTGAGAGTTACCCCAACATCTTAGGGACCTGCCTCACATCAGGGACCTAAGGGAATCTTCTGTAGAAGCGAGTTAGATGCCTTCTCTTATATAGTTGGACCTCAGCAAATTGTTACAGCAACATTTGGCAAACTGAGGCCAACATCGCAGTCCGAGCCCACTGCGTATGGAAAACCTGCAGATGGGTTAATAGACTCCTTCGATTGTCTACTTCTCCCACAGTCCACCTTGAGTTCTCACCCTTGATGACTGCAGGAGACCCACAAGCCCCAGCCGTCTCCCCTGTCTCCCTTCTGCCCCCTGATGACACGGTGGTCTCTTGGCACAGGTGTGGGATCCATGAGCCGCTATGAGCAGGTCTTGCGACACATCCGCTACCGCAACTGGCACCCAACTTCTCTTGACGCAAGGCGGTTCCGGGTCAAGTGCTCAGAACTCAATGGGCGCTACACCAGCAATGAGTTCAATTTGGAGGTGAGCAGACCCTGCCACTGTCAGGGAAGTCTCATTAATTCAGAAGCACGGCAGCCCCCAGCCCGCCTGCCACTCCTGGTCAACAGCAACTTCTTATTCTTTCCAGGTCAGTGTGCTCCGCGAAGTCAGGCTCTCGGACAAGGAGCACGTGAACCACCTGATTGTGCAGCCTCCCTTCCTCCAGTCCGTCCATCACCCCGAGACCCGGAGCAGTATCCAGCGTAGCTCAGGTAGGGCAGCCCAGGAGGTCATTGTCACTCCAGACCTCCCGCTGAAGCGACACTTCTGTTGCAGCAGCCACAGGTGTCCAGAACTGAAGGAGAGCGAGAAGATGGGGGCCCTGCCTCTGAGGCACTCACAGATCGAATGGGAAGCCAATCCAGCAAACAGGAAGTCACACGCAGTACATAAGAGCAGAGATCGGTAAAAAGGGCTCCAGAAAACTTTGGCTCGTTGTCTCTGGACTCAGAGTCACATCTTATATGAAGCTTTCTGTGAACCCCTTAAGTTCACTCACACACACGTGTGTACCACAGTGCAAAGCCCTCTGCCCATACTGCCGTATTGAGTTCCCATCTGGTGGGCACTTGTGTCCATTCCTGGTAACCTTCATGGTGCCTACCTCTTAGTGGGAGCACCCTTGGGATTTGAATGCAAAGGCCAAGGGCAGAGTAGAACTTGAACCAAATCCCTACTCTGTGCTGCTGTGGAAACTCACAGAGCTGATTTCTTTGACTCCCTACAGTTATCCATAGGGTAGGAATGATTGAGTCCACACTATACACGCCTGATGCAAGGGAAGCCCAGCAGGGCCAGGTGCTGCCCAGAGCCGATTTTATGCCTGCCCCTCCACAGAATGAGCTAGACCTCTGTCCACCTTGTCACGTGGGCTTCTTCCTCCCTCCAGTGGTCCCAAGCATCGCCACGGTGGTCATCATCATCTCCGTGTGCATGCTCGTGTTTGTTGTGGCTATGGGCGTGTACAGGATCCGGATCGCCCACCAGCACTTCGTCCAGGAGACTGAGGCTGCCAAGGAGGCCGAGATGGATTGGGACGACTCTGCACTGACGATCACGGTCAACCCCATGGAGGTGAGCTTCATGTGGGGCTGGGAGCGCTGGGGGGTCTTCTCCTCCCACCACCCACCTCACTCCTCCCTGGGTCTAAACCTTGGCCCAAGGGGCCTCCTAGTCCATTCAGTCTAGTCCCACTGATTCTACCACCATGGAGCTCCTCCAGCTCTCTGTCTGCACAGACCGTATTTTCCCACCAATTGCATCCTCTGGTTTTAAATGTGGGGATTGTTCTCACCCCACAGAGAGAAACAGAAGTCTCTTAAAGCAAGCAGTCATGTGGTATCCATCCCTTGCATCCTCCTAGTATTAAGCTCAGAGCTAACGCTGAGGGACTTGGGACTGGGTCTTGGTGAGCCAATATCGTAAATCAGATGGCTTTACTCCATGCTGCCCGCACAGCTCACGTCAAGGCTCATAGTAGGTGAGAAGAAAAATGCAGCAGCAGCACTCGCCATTTACTGAGCCCCCTGATGAGGTGGTGCCCACAGAGCACTCTGAACACGGTGCTGTCTGCCCACCACCCATTTACTCTTCCAACAGCCTGTGAAATAGGAGTCTTCATCAGTGGGGACCAGCTGAGAGAAAAGGAAAGGGCTCAAGTGTACCCAACCACTATGCAGAGTCAAGATCTTCTGGCTCTAAAGCTCTGATCTTTCCAGTTAGCCAAGGGCCCCCAGCATCCATTGTGAATGTCAACGATCCCTGCTCAAATATGTGGCTGTAACAAGAAGCTACCTACGTCAAGCCCTCTGCCCATGGGGTGCTGGGTGATGGGAGATGCAGACTTAAGAAAGCAGGGAAAGAACAGGAAGAATCCCTGGCAAATAACAAAGATGATTATCTCAGCCTGGTCCCCACTTTCTCCCTCCTCCCCTGGTCCCACAATCCAATGTTAAGTCGGCCTGCTGACGTGCCGCAGTCCTGTGAGCGCTGCTGGTGCAGTGGTGAGCTCGCCACTGTCGGAACTCCAGCTCTTGCACCCTCAAGGAGCTGAGCCTCTAGCGTGGGAAACAAGAATACTTGGCCTGGAGCAGCAAGAGTGCGCCTCACAAGGGCTCGCCTGCTGATGTCAGCCCTCAGTGCAGCCCAAATCGGGAGAGCCTTGGGCTGCAGGGTGCAGGGAGGCTTCCCAGTAGAAGGGTGGCCTAAAAAGAGACCCTGCAGAACGGGTAGGATCTGGGGGAGGCAAAGGTAGAAGAGGAGACAGTCTAGACAGGAGAGGCAGCCAAGCAAAGGTTTTTTGCTGGACTCACCAAAGAGCTGGAGGCAGGGAGAGAGGGTGGAGCCCAGATGGAGGACACAGGTTGGAGGGCGAGGTGCAGGCAAGGAGTGAGGACCATGAAGTCTGTCCTTCCCAAAGGGATACTGTTGAGGGACAGCACACCTGGGGCCCTGCTTCGACACTAGAGGTTCACCCGGAAAGGGGGTACAAGGTTCAAAGCTGCCACGTCACCGAGACGCCATGTGGTAAGATTTAGAAAGTGCACAGGTGGGCTCTTGCAATGCCCGTGGCCGGAAAGCCTCCAGGATGGATGGGATTGGCTTTCGCGTCTGTCCCGTCATTCACCGGAACTTCCCTTGGAGGTCCTGCCATAAAGAGGCACCATGAGTCCTTGGTCCCTCAGGCTCTGACCTCTCTTTCCCCAGAGGCCCTTCCCTCCAGAAAGCCAGGCCCAGGGATTTAGCATGAGAAGAACTCCAAGGGGTCCTACATGTTTCCTTAATGCAGGGAGAAACGTAGCTCCAAAGCGGCCTCTGCCGCTGCCCTGATGCGTATCCCCCTTCTCTCCCTGGCGTCCAGAAACATGAAGACCCAGGGCGTGGGGAAGAGGAGACCGAGGGAGAGGAGGAGGAGGAGGCGGAGGAAGACGGAAGCTCCAGCAGCAGCGACTCCGATGACAGCGAAGAGGAGGAGGAGGAGGAAGGGATGGGCAGAGGCAGACACGGGCAGAGTGGAGCCAGGCAGGGCCAGCTGGAGTGGGACGACTCCACCCTGTCCTACTAGCCAGCGCCCTTGGGCAGAGCCGCCCAGCCCGCACCTCCCTTTTGTAAACCCCGACCCGATGTTTGCCCGAGCCTATCACCCCTGGCCTCTGATGTCTGTGACAGGTCTGGGGAGCCTTCTCTGGCTTCCTGGAGCCTGCCCTGTATGCCTTGGGCACTCCCTGTGTCCCAGCCATGAGGCAGTTCCAGCGTCCTCCTCGGTGGGGACTGCAGCATGGACTTTGTCCTGCGGTCTCCACCTCCCCGGCGTCCTGCCAGCCAGTCTGCCGAGCTCTGCCTTTGCTCTTTCTGCGGGGGAGAGGAGCCGCCTTGATGTCACTCATCTCCCCCAGCTCGGGGTTCCCAAGCTCTCTGGGTTCTAAGTCACTGTGCGTGCACCTGCACTGTCTCCCTCACAGAGCAGCAGGTCCTCCTTACGTGGTCTCTCCACGTTGCTTTATACCTGGAGGGGGGTTCAACTTCACACACTGAGGTCTTAACACTTGGAAGGAAAGTCCCTGTGGAGGGAGAATGAAGACTCCAGGGAAATGTACACAGGCCCCAGCTTGCAGAGGCTCGCCCCTTGCTTCTCTCTGAGGCCACAGAAGCTGATAGGAGAAGTCCCAAACTAAGCATGGGTCACTGGCTCGAGCAGGGCCTCATCCTCAGCCAAAGTCGCCTGTCTGCCTGGGCAGTGGGCACTGAGTCCTGCGTGGCTGCCCTGCCAAGGGCCTTCCCCTATGAAACCACAGGGCCCAAGGAGCAGGCCACACAGGCGCCGTCCTGAGACAGCAAGGAAGCAGGGGGAAGGGCTGAACAGGTGATTGCCGGGTTCCAGGGAGGCTGCAGACCTGAGATGTGGTTACGGTGGCTGGGGTCCCCCAGGACAGAGGGGTCCCAAAGGTGGTGAGGGTTTCACCACTGAGCCTCTCGGTCCCTCACCTCCAGCTTCCCTGTCTGCATCCCTCTAGGCTGTACTAGAACAAGCATGAACTCCAAGTGCAAAATGAAAGCCTGGAACTCTAACTGCTGGGAGCGGGGAGTACATTCACAAAAACAGCGGCTTCTTCTCATAACAGGAGGAACGCTTTGGGTAGAGGGCAGATATCTCTGAAAACCTAATTTCTTTCTTCCTTTCTTCTTCCTTTAATAAGGAGATCTTTCCCACCTGCACCCGAACGTGGACACCTCCTGGGGAGAGTTGTTGCTATAGTAACTGCTCCGCGGTCCGTTGTGGCTGGAGAGTAACAGGCGAGAACAAAGGCCATTGTGAGAGTTCACGAGGCTCTGAGAACCTGTTGGTCTGCAGTGTCGCGGCTCTCCTTTGTTCTCAGCATGGCTCCGACTCCATCTTCTGGCCCATCCCATGTTGGTTTAGCACAGACACAGAGCTGGACCGCAGGTGAGGGGTGTCTGTGTTCAGCAAAGGTTTACAACGTGCTCAGTCTGCTCCCTGCTCCACCGACACAGAGCCGCTGCTCTCCTCTGCTCTGAGCCCCTTCCAGGCAGCACCCACCGCTGGCCCTGGCAACCTTCTCATTTGGGAGAACCACCCACGCGGCTTTCTCCATCTCCTAAATCCTTTCTTGCATCTGTTCTCGCCTTTGAAGCTCACGATAATCCTGCAGAGTCGCTGGGAGTTCCTCTGTTAGACACATTTCCACGACGAGTACACCAAGGGTCAGCGATTCGGTGTCTTGCTCAGATTCATTCAAAGCCACAGACGAGCTGGGAATCCCACCTCCCTCTCCTGGCCCAGGATTCCAGTCGTGCTCATGTTTATTTAGGTTACTGCTGGGTAACCTACTATGTGCGAGGCACTCTACCAGCAGCTGAGTAAGACAGCTCCTCCTCATGGAGGGACAGAGGCATGGGACTCCTAGAAGAGACAGGTGAAGGGTGGGGGAGAGGAAGGAAGAGCGAGCAGAGGTCACGTTCACAAGCCCAGCCAGAGCCTCAGGTTTCCCTTCTTGGGGATAAGATGGGCAGCAGCTAGGGGTTTTGTATTCAAGGAGTGGAAACAGACACTTCTGTGAATTATCCCAGCCGAAGTCTCCTCCTCCTATCAGGCTGTGTGTGCCCATCTACAGGGAGAAAACCTGCAGGCCTGGTTAGTCCTCACATCCCATTATTTCAATAAAAAGAGATTCTTCAGTGTGGCATTTAAGAGCGGCTGAATTGTCCCAAAATTACAGCAGCAAAATGAATACTTTATATGGTTAGGGCAATTCTTTTTGAATTAGATTTGATGGGAAATATTTGACTCTAGTATTCTGCCGTTTGCAGAGATGGGGAAGGTGCCCCTCTGGCTGTTCCTTGTGGTTGCGTTACCTATTCATGGCTGAGCGAACCGCTGGGCATATTGTGAACACTTTAGATGACTTTGGCCTTGGGTTAAGGAGGAAGCAGGTGAAAGTGCCACTTGGTTCAGTAGCACAGCAAAGGCATTGGAGGAAGCATTTTGGTGACAACAAATCAGACCTCTGTTCACCAAGCCTGATTGCAAAAGATCACCCTGCATGCCAGCCCCAGGGATGAGGCATCTGAACGCTGCTGCTGGGTCAACAGGCGTTGATCACATCCCCAACACCCTATTCATCAGCATGGGCTAGAACCCAATGGAAGTGGTTATACAAAAGCAGCAGAAACTTGAGGCAGCATCCGGGTGAGTGGCGGGTAACAGAGTTTGCCCTCCATCCGATATCCCCACTCTGTATGAAGGATGTCATTCGAAAGCCCAGTTTTTCCAGCCCATGTGCTGGCATTCAGGAACCAAGTGCCCAAAAGGCCTGGACACCCCAGGAGCACTCCCCCCACAGCAGCAGCCGGGCAGGTGCAGGCTGGGAACCCAGAAGGAGTGGCTGCATGGGCTGGACATAGGCTAGTCTGTTGCTTGTCCTGCCAAGTGGGTGGTCAGAGCCTACTTTTCAGAGCTCAGAAATAGGCTGACCCCTCCTGGGTGACTCTGGTGACAGGGAAGAGGAGGCAGAAGAGGCTGAGTTGGAAAAGACCCATCCGGGATGAGTTGCCACAGGGGAGTAAAGCGATCGCCCAGGTGGTGGCCGATTTTCACACTAAACGTGATTCCTAATGGACTGAACCAGATGCTCTCAGTCTGAGACCCACATTCATCGGGATACCAATAGTAGGATTCAGTTGGGCTTCTTTTCATTGCCCCATCTTAAACTTGTTCCGCCATCCTATCCAGCAGGGTTTAGACTCCAGGAAGAGGGGTCCTGGTGGGGAGGCCGTGCCCTCCCTCCCTGAGTGCCAGAGGTCAGCTGGCTGTGTCTATACAGAGCCGGGGAGTGAGAGTCTGGGGCTCTGTGGACCTCAGGGTCTCTGTTGCAAGGACTCCATGTAGCTTTCCACTGTGGCGTGGAAGCTGCCACAGGCATGACAGACACAAATACATGTTCCAAATACTTTGGACACTTGTGGACACTGATGAGGCAGGGAACCCAAATCCATGCCATTTGCACATCACAAATAATTTTCATTCTTTGGACTTTCATTTTCAACCCCTCAAAGACGTTAAAACTTTTCTCAGCCCACAGGATGTAGGCAAATGAGCGGATCTGACCCCAGGGCCACAGCCCGGCCAGCCCTCCCATAGACCACCGAGCAGTCCGCTTCCAAAGCGAACCTCGGGAAAACCCCATAGTCCTTCACGAAGCGCTTCTTAAAAGACCGTGCTCCTGGGGGAAAACAAAAGCAAAGGAAACACCAAGCCCTTGCTGCTTCTTGAATTGATAAGCTCAGAGCTGCAGGCCTTGGATCCAGGAACCCGAGTGATCCCTGGGCGCTAACTCCACCGAGGCTGGCGCAGCCTCCCCGGGCTCGGGGCCTGCCGGTGCAGCTCAACCCATGGCACATTCTGAGCACAAGTGTTCATTATCTCGGGCTGATTTTCAATTCAGCCCTGCTCGTGCCGTTGCTCTAAAAATGATCCTAAAGACTTGTGACTGTGTGAATCAATAGCAACATAATCAGTGGAAACCCGATGCAGCACACTTCAAAATTAGCAGTCTGCTCGGCACAGGGAAGAAAAAAAGAGGGCTTTTTCTTAACCGTGCCCTCATTTAAATTAACCAAATAGGCTTCACAAAAGAAAAAAAATATGGGGGAGTCTGAGTCTCTCAAAGAATTTGCTGGTAAAAATAGCTGATGTTCGGGCCGCTGGGGGGTCGCTCAGCCTCCTGCAGTGCAGTCTGGCAGGCTGTGGCTGTGCATGGTCCTGCCTGCATTAGACATTCATCGAGGCTGACAAGCCAAAGCCCTGGGCACAATTTAATTTTCATGTAGCCACTTTCCGCTGTCCAGCTGCAGGCAAAGGAAATGAGCAATGGAAGTCTGAAAGTCCACTCCAGCACCCTCATTTCCCCGTCTTCCCTCGCCGTGCTTTCCGAGTTCATTCTGTACCTGCTCTACCCATCTTGACTCCAGGTCTCCTGTGGCTCCAGCTGGGGGCTGTGGATTAGGAGCCACACTTGGTTAGTGCCAGGGAGACAACGAGGCAGCCAATTCTGGCACCAGTGTCCCAGGGAGCAGCCGGACAGACAGGCCCCGCATGCGGTCAGGGAACAGATGGGAGGCCGGGTGTGCGGCCTCGCTCGGTGGGATTTGGTGAGTCCTCACGGAGTTGGCCGGTCCTGTGCCAGGGGGCTTGGGCTGGCTGGCTGGCAAGCTGCTCCCTGCACAGGCAGTGCTGGTGCTGTTGGAGCGGTCACCATCCTTGGGCAGACATTTGGGATCAGGGACGGAACAGCCACCCCTTTGGTGATGACCCACCTGAAGTCGCATGGCCGGTGTGATTCTTGGGGCGTGAGGTGTTCTGGGGGGACCTCCAGGACAGTAGGCAGCGCTTTCCTAGATGTCCCTTAATTCTCCCTGAGCCAGACTCCAGCCCACTTACGGAGGAAAGCTCTTATTACTGGGCAGTCACATGGCTGACAGCTGTGACACAGGGGAGGCTCCCCACCAGAGGAAGCCCCACAGCACAAATGACAGGTGCATCCCGAAAGTCAGGAAGGGTCCGTGGGAGCCAAGGCCCAAAGGCATGACCAGGCAGAAGTGCAAGAGCCCCAGAGGCTGTTCTGGGGGGGACACGCCTCTGCCCCAAAGTAGCGCTTCCCAGCATGTGGGCTCTGCACCAGCAGCAGCAGCAAGGTCCCCTGGGAACTGGGAGGAAAGCAGGTGCGCAGGCCCCACCCCAGACCCACGGAATCAGGAACTCGGGCTGGGCCCAGCCAGCTGTGCTGTAACAGGAGCTGCAATTCTGATGCCCGCTTGGCTTAAAGAACCACCGACGTGAAGGGTGGGGAGAGTGCCACAGGCAGGCCCGCGGGGGTGCTGATACTCGCTAGCAAGGTGAACTGGTCAAGTACTAGTGCAGTGGTACCAGGGGGCCATGGCAGAACCCTCCCCCCCCCCACCAAACTCACCCTCCTGGGACTTCCAGGCTTCAGTTCCCACCCCCCGAAGCAGTTGTCTCACGAGACCACCCCTGCCTACCCCATTCCTTCTACCCCAGAGCCAGACTCAGCCCAGGGCAGGTTCTTGTGACTCCCCCTTCTCCACCATCTGCCGGATTCCTGTCCCCAAAGCAGCAATGCCCCTGCCCCTGACCCACCAGGAGAACGGCTTTCCACATAGCCTGGGAGACAGTGCAGCATCCAGGGTTTGGCAGAGAGAGTGGCCCTGGTGGTCCCAGGACACTGCATGGTCGCTGCAACACTGCCCGATTTGTATTGGGCCTTGGGCACAAGGTGCCCCAACTCAGACACTTCCTAGCATGGGGACTGGATTGGATTGCTTTCCTTGGAAGGGTGGTACCTCGTACTGGGTGCTATTAAAACAAACAAACAAAAAAGCAGACCTGCAGCCTTAGCCACAGTCCACATCTGTAGGGTTAAGGCTCACACCTCACAGGCCCGGCTCCAGCAATGCTCCTCCCCCTGTCCCACCAGGTACCGGGGGCCTGCCAGTTACCAACTCCTGGCTTGAACTCTGTGACGGCCCACAAACCTTTAGGAAGAACTCACCAGTGCTTTGTCATGCTAACAAGCAGGAAGGAGCAGTACCTCTGCACCCCCAAGGTGCATGACCTCAGAGGCAAGGTCCCACAGTCCTGCTTCTCACGCACCTGCTGGGTACCGGCCAGGCCATGGACACCATGGTTGTGTGATGCAAGTCTGGATCCCCAACTCCTGCCTCCCCCAGCCCTGTTATAGGCCACCTTCCCAAGGCAAATAATAATAACTTAGCACAACACCCTGGGTGCCTAGCACAGCACCTAGTCCACAGTATATGCTCAACAATGTCATCTCAGAGACCTCCACCAATGGACTTGCTCTGAAAAATTAAGATGATCCCATGTCTGAAAGGCAAGGTCTATCATAATATCAGATGGCAGAGGAGAGGGAACACGTGGACAGAGGACACTATTCCTTCAGCCCAGGGTGAAATACAGCAGGAGAGGGGCTGTCTGCAGAGGGCCACCCCCCCCCCCCTGTCAGCTGGACCCAGTGCAAGGAGCAGGGCAGAAGGCCCTGGATGAGCCCCACTTGCTCCACTCTCTAGGTCACGGGCAGTGTCCCGGCTGCGGAGAGAAAGCCCTAGTGTGTGAATGCTCCCAGCCCCGTGCTGCTCTCCAGTCCCTGTTATCAGATATGCTGCAGAGGAGATTCATCAACAGGAAGCTCAACTCCCAACAGTCTAATGAAAGGAGGGCAACAGGCCAGAGAGGAGCCAAAATGCAGACGCTGTGTATTAATCACGGGCAAGGGGAACGTGCTGGCGTTCGTGTCTGTTTGCTTTTAGCTGAGAATGAAAATGCAGCTCTGCTACCTGGACCCTGTTTACTGAGCGTCTCAGAAGAGAGATGGGACACACAGCTGCATACACATGCACACACACACAGGATTACTGAGCATCTCAGGAGAGATGGTACACACAGGCACACATGCATATATATACAGGCACATATATGCACACATTACTGAGCATGTCAGAAAGATGGGACACACACATGCACACACGATTATTTGGCGTCTCAGAAGAGAGATGGAACACACCCACACACCTGCACACATGCACACACACAGGGTTCTTTTCCCAGCAGCAAGAGCTTTCAGAGTAGTGACTCACAGAGGCAGAGAATCATCCCGTAAGTGTCAGCTCCAGACTCCAGTGGGGGAGGGAGAGGAACGGGTGAGAAGGCCCCCTCTGCCCTCCACAGTGTCCATCAGGGCCTCCTTGACGAAGGGCCTGCTGGCACCTGGGGGTCACAGGTCTGAGTATAGAGCGCACACCCACACCTGGAGACACGAGTTGCTCCCTCGCAGCCTCTGGGCCCACCCCCAGCTCCCTGACACAGCTGCGGAGCAGCCACTGGTGGGAGAGACTCCAGAGAGCTCCACTCATTGCCACAGCCAGACGTGTGGTAGAGACAAGGCGCAAGCTTTTGGCATGGAGGAAGTTAAGACTTGATATCCAGCACAGATCACTCAAAGAGCAAAGGAAGTGCTATGCGGGAGGGGTGACTCAGAGTTGGAGAGGGGACGGGGAAGCTGGGAGGAGTGGCACTATAGAAGCAAGCTCCTTGCCAGAAAACCAGAGCACTGCTGGCTCTTAAATCTGAGTCCGAGTTTAAAAAAAAAAAAAAAAAGCTATGGGCAAGTCTGCCACGTGACCACAGCGGCAGGAAGTCGGGGCTGTTTGAAGGTGACTTCTGCTCTGAATGGAGCTGGTCGTGCTGACTCAGCGCACGCGGTGGCTGCCTAACCTTGGTGGCTTCCAGAAATGGTGGTTGATGCCCTGAGCTGGGTAGGCTCAGCATAAGATTGGAAGAAACCAGTCGGGGACTTTAGGAAAGAAATCGTAGGTAGACATTGGCTGTTCTTAAAGGAATCTGTAGGTATTAGAGTTGGGGTTGGGACGTTATTAGCCTGGATATCATGATGTTGGCGAGGAAGAAAGAAGGACTTGGTGGGGCATGAGTTTGGGAAGTTAGAATATTAATGTAAATTATATGTAGGTGTACAGGGGCCTTCAAAAAGTTGTACCCCCAACTAAATTTCTCTTATTCCGTTTTCCATGAATTCTTCAAAGTCCTGTCATGGGCGTGTGTGTATGTACACACACCACAGTCAGGTACGTATCTATAGTACAGACATTAACTATGAAGAAGTCAATGGCTCCAACATATTTTAAATTCATTAGAAGCAGTGGATCAGCAGTTATGTGACTTTCTTATGACTGTTTATTGTAGCTGTCAAAGTACCGGGAACATGGCCGGTGCCCTCACTAGGCTAACCCTCTGCCTGCGGCACCGGCACCCTGGGCTCTAGTCCCGGTTGGGGCGCCAGATTCTGTCCCAGTTGCTCCTCTTCCAGTCCAGCTCTCTGCTGTGGCCTGGGAAGGCAGTGGAGGATGGCCCAAGTGCTTGGGGGCCTGCACCCACATGGGAGACCAGGAGGAAGCACCTGGCTTCCTGGCTTCAGATCAGCACAGTACACCGGCCATGGAGGTCATTTGGGTGGTGAACATATGGAAGGAAGACCTTTCTCTCTGTCTCTCTCTCTAACTCTGCCTGTAAAAAAAAAAAAAAAAAAAAAGTACTGGGAACAGTGCCTGGCACATAGTAGGCCTTTGGTAAAGATTCAGAAGTGGAAGACCCAGCTTGTCACTACTTGGTAGAAATGCAATTGTACCATTGCCCCCAACCTGAATGAGCCACAGAGGAGCAGGCTGGCCACACCCCCAGTTCAGCTCAGGGGACACCCTTGAGAATGCTCAGAGTCTGTGCAGTCCTCAGCTAGCTGCAGGCCCTGGGTCTGGCTCTCTGGTTGTAGGCAGAGCTGGGATGGTGCACACAGTAGGTCTGCACATATGTAGCCTGCACTTAGGTAACACCCAACATGCTGTTTCTGTCTCTCTTTGTCTCTGCCACTTCCATATCCCTTGGGAAAATGCTGTTGGACTTGTCTCCTGCACATGTGAATCTGGAACTGAATGTAAAAAGGTTCTTGTCCAGCCCATCTGGGCGGTCTCCTGATTTCTTACCCCAGCTCCTCCCTCTTCCCACGACCGGAGATGCCACCACCATGTAAAAGCCTCGTGTTAGAAGCAGGCGCCTCCCAGCTGCTCAGCCTCAGTGAGCGCAGGATAAGGAGGCACCTCCCTGGTGTTCCCGCAGAAGCAGAGGAGGCTCATTCTAGAGAATCATCCCCCACCACTGCTGCTGTCTGGGCGGCTAACCAGAGGGTGCCCCCAGGGGCTGGCGTCACACCCCCCCGCCCCGCCCTGGGGTGGGGGAGAGGCCTGCAGTTCCTCAAGCTGCCTCAGAGAACTCTTGTTAGTCTAGAAAGTGTGTGTATTTGCCCGATGGACCATGGTGTGTTCGAGCGTGACTCGTGCAAACTTAGAATATCTCAAGAGCAGTCTACAGAAAAAGGAACCCAAACCGAGTACAGCGCGATGCCGTCTCAGTGGACTGGGGTGCCCGGAACGGCGGAGCTGAGACGAAGCTCTTGCCTCCGCCTCTGTTCTCAGCAAACCCTGCCTGGCCTGGCTGAGCTGCCCCCTCGAGTCCAGGCCGATGGCAAGGGGTGCAGGGTGTCTACGTGTACATAAAGACGTAGGAGGATGGCAGGGGCCTTCCCGGGAAACTGCCGGGCTTCTGCCCACCGCCGGGATCCCACCCACGCTGGAACCACAAACTCCAAATTTCTATCAATTACGATTCTCGCCGTTTCTGAGTAATTTGTTAAATGCCTATTCAACACAGACAGATATTTATTTTCAGCCTTGGCTTGTAAATGCCTACAAACTGATTCATGTTGGTGGTCATATGACACTTTCTGTGAATGGGTGAATAAATATGATTTTAGAATTTCACAGTAAACGCGGCCTTGGAGTTTCTGTCGTTCCCGCCCCTTGACGGAGTGAGATGCCCACGACTGCTCTGGCGGGGCCGGCATCCCCTGGGGCTCTGTTCTAAATCTGTGCTGGGAGAAGAGACAGGCGTGGGCCACCAGAGGGGGACCTTGCAAATCGGCCCCTCATGAAAACGATGGGGCTCAAAGGAGTCCAGGGCGCCTGCCAAAGACAAGTGGGACTGAGGACCGCACTGACCCTCTCCAGGCCCAGTCCCCCTGCTCCCCCATGCTGACCTGCCCTTGTGCCCAGAGGGACCCCGGAGCCAGTGAGCTCCAGAACACTTCCCTGGGATTCTGCCAGATCCGGTCCCTGTAGCCACTGTCTCCTGCTACGCACTGTGCCCACCTGGGAGTTAAGACCTCCACTTGCTTGCGTTCCAGGGGGAAGGAGGTACACTCCGTGTTGGAAGCGCAGGGGTCAGGAAGGAAGGCACTCTGCCCAGGGCGGGGCACACAGTCACATGGCAGAGTAAGCCGTCTCCTTTCCAAACTCCTCCTAGCCATGCTCCCCAGCTCTATGCCAGCTGCCTTCCCTCTCCACCCCTCCCTTCTCCCCTGTCTCCCACATAAGAAGCAAGTCCCTGTGCTGTCCTCCTTGGAGCACAGTTTCAGCTGCTCTTCTTCATCGCCTGCTCTCCTGCCAAAACCTGTGTCCATCCTCCTACCCAAGAAGTCCATCAAGACCTGCACCCAGATACAGAGCACTCAAGAGGACGTTTCTGCCCAGCGTTAAGACAGCGTGTTTAACCAGGAGCACGGGGCACACACGGGGGCACAGACATGGTGGTACACGCATACGCACACATGGGGGCACACACACACATATACACATGGGCCATACACAAACATACACACACACAGGGGTACACACACACATCTGTATCCTTAGAGCCTAACGTAGGAGCTCACAACCAGCTCCCTAACAGCTCACGCCACTCTTACTCCCCCAAAAAAAACCCATGTCCATCTTCCTGCCGTCTGACACATACAGTCTTCGTTTTTTTTTTTGCATCTTCCCTCTTTCCAAAGCATCCCTTCCCCATGAGAAGCTCCCCCCTCCGGCGGCCTCCTGCCTCAGACCCTGTGCAGCCAGGATGCTGACGGTGCTGCAGCCCCACTGCCAGGAGGCCCCCAGGCTGGCCTTGGCACTCACCTTCACAGCAAACCCCTGCTGCTCCAGGAACCCCCCAGTCTCTTGGGGAGCATAAGCCACAGTCCTGAAAACGTCCTGCCTCATCTGGTTTGAAGAAGTGCTTCAAGTGCGGCCAACCCTATTTATGGCAGAAACTCACCACCAACAAATTATAAACCACAGACGTCCCGAGCATGGGTTTCGTCCTGAGCCTGGGAGACACAGGGCTCAGAGAGCATGTATTCATTCGGCTGAATCGAATCCAACGTCAAGTCCAGCTCCTCTGGGACCTGGCCCAGCCTCAGGCTCCACCCTCCTAGCACCTGATTGCCTGGTGCGCATCCAAGCTCTTGTGCTCCCAAAGCACACGGTGCCCATTGCCAGCTGCTTGCTGCTCCTGCCGCCTGGAAGGCCGTCCGTCCTCCCACACCTTAGACCACTCAGAACTCTGACTCCCCACCTGCAGGGCAGTGCTGCCAGAGGCGCCTGACACACAGGAGGGGGTTAACACACTAGGTTCCCACTAGAAGGACAGACAGGTCCCCAAAGAAGCCTTACCTCCAGTGATCCCTTTCTGTGCTCCTCTCTAGGTCTTTAACAAACTTGAAAATCTTTCCTGGCATCAGCACTGCTCTGTGTGTGTGTTTGGGGGGCAGGGAGCGGGGCGGGGCGGAGGGTCAGGCCTCTCCAGAAGCTGCCCGTGCCGGCAGGGTCCTGTCGGTGGCAGGTCAGACAGGCCTCAGCGAGAGGCTTTGCCTCTGTATTTGCTCTTGTGACTCCACAGTAAGAAGCGCTGGGTGTGGCTGGGCCCCACCAGTGCCTGCAAGCTCAGGATTTGCTGCAGTGACTCCAGGCGAGTGACATGCATGTACACGTATACTTACGTGGAATCACACATGTAAGTATGTACCTACATAGTATGTATTTATATGGACTTGCAGCCGTGACCATGAAGTGATTCATATGGATGTACATTCACAGACATATCCAATCACACATGTATATGTGTATACTGATGTGGTATGTACTCATACAAGGCAGAATGTACATATACATATTACATGCAATTACTAGGACTTGTAGTGATTATAAGGTGATTCATATGTATATACATAGGCATACAGCCAATCGTGTAAGTAGAAGTATACACTTATATGTATATATAATATGTAATGTCTAGGACTTGCAGTGATTGTGAGGTGATGTGTTTGTATATCCATTTATAGACATAACCAATCACGTACGGGTGTGATATGTATGTAACCAACATGAAGGCATTGTCCCTCCCCTTCTCTTATTTGGCTGACAAGGGCCGGCTGCTGGTGTTGTGAATGACTGTGGCCAGGGAATAGCAATGAGCCTCCTGAAGGGAGATGACTCGAAGGGCAGATCTCATGGCCAGCTGCAAACAGCTGAGCTCCACCATCCAGGAGGCACCCAGGGTCTCCCAGCCAGACCATAACGGTCAACTGACTGGACTCACTGTTTCTTCTAACCTCACCTGCTGATGCCCCTTCCCTTTAAAAACCCTTTTTGCTGGCTTGCTGGTCAGGAGGGAGCACGTTTTGGATCCAGAGATCACTCTCTCCCCAAGACTTTGAGCTTCTTGAAGCAAAGCCTTTCCTCTTACGAAGTCTTACCTCTAGTGCACCGGCTGTCCAGCAGGAAGCAGCAAGGATCTGACTGTTTTTCCTGGTAATGAATATTTACTTGTGTGGTTCATATTCATACATAAAATAGAATGACTAGGACTAACTAAGATTATTAATATATATTGATTATGCGGCCGACATTGCAGTGCCATGGGTTAAGCTGCTGTCTGAAAAACAGGCATCATGTATCAGAGCCCTAGTTCCTGGCTGCCCCACTTCACGTCCAGCTCCCTGCACAATGCACCTGGGAAGGCAGCAGAAGGTGGTCCAACTACTTAGGCCCCTGCCACTCCCTTAGAAGATCTGGTTAGGGTTCTAGGCTCTTGGGTTTGGCCTGACCTAGCCCTGGCCATTGTGATCATTTGGGGATTGAACCAGCAGACAGATGATCTGTCTCCCTCTGAAACTTTGCCTTTCAAATAAATAAATAATCTTTAAAGCACATATTGAGTATATATTAATATATTCGTATATATATATTTTAAAAGTGTATGTTTATATTGTATGTTATAATAAATTTTAATGTTATATGATACATATTTATAATAAATACATAATAACATATCAGCAACCTTATCAAGACCTAATAATTATGTATTAAATATAGAGTTATATATGGTATACATCATACAAGACTAAATTGCATAATTACAATGAGGTGAATTACATAATTACATATTACATACTATGAATAGTCACATGCTATGACACTCTAGTTCATCAGGCACTAGCGAGGTGTCCCCACGTCTGACCGCTCAGGCCAGCTTCTGTACTGGGTGGGATCTGTGGCTGCTGGCGGCTCCTAGTCTCACCTCGTCCTGAGAAAGAACAGGAGCTCCTCTGCTTCAGTAAGGCTCTAAGGCTTCTCCGAGCTTGTGTGAGTCCAGCCCGCATGGCTGTGCACGGGGAAGGGAGCACCCTCACCACCAGGATCAGGTGTTTGGGGTCAGATGGGAAGGAGCACTGCTCAAAGAAAACACAGAGAACACCCACGGGAAGAGGGCAGGGGCTTGGCCCAGCTCGTTTACAAGAACCCGAGCGTCTGGATTCCTCACGTGTGTGGCATGGAGTGCACATTCCGTAAGCTATTCCTCGATTTATGCCTTTTTTATTAGCTTCTCAATAAAGTTCTGTTCTTGGAAATAATGGATGGAGGTTGCTTTTATTTGTTTCTTCCTTAATTCATTTTCATCTACGAAGAAGAAGCAGAAGCAGAAGACGACGACAATGAAGACGACAAAGACAATGACAACGATGACGATGGATGAAGAAGAAGAATACGACGAAGACGAAGAAGACAACAAAGACGACGACGAAGACGACAACGAAGAAGATGCAGATGAAGAAGACGACGAAGACGACAAAGAAGAAGACGACAACGAAGACGGATGAAGAAGAAGAATACGACGAAGACAAAGAAGACAACGAAGACGACGACGAAGACGACAACGAAGAAGATGCAGATGAAGAAGAAGATGACGAAGAGGAAGAAGATGACACAGACGAAGAAGATGCAGACAAAGAAGATGACGATGAAGATGACGAAGAAGACGAAGACGACGAAGAAGACAAAGATGAAGAAGATGAAGACAAAGAAGAAGACGAAGACGAAGAAGACAAAGAAGAAAAGGACAAAGAAAAAGACAACGAAGAAGAAGAAGACAAGGAAGACAAAGAAGACGAAAAAGAAGACAACGACGATGACGATGAAGAAGACGACGACGAAGACGAAGAAGGGGAGAGAGAGAGAGAGAGAGAGGGTCCATCCTCTGGTTCACTCCCCACATGCCCGCCGGAGCATGAGACTCTGTCCTGCTTTGTCATGTGGATGGCAGGAACCAGCCATCACCTGCTGTCCGCTGGGACGCATCAGCAGGAATCCAGACCAGAAGCAAACCCAGCGCTCTGAAATGGGAGTGGCTTGACCCACTGCTCCACAACGCCAGCCCCACTGTGAATAATCAGACAGGAACCTATAGAAGTGTGATTCTCCAGCCAGTTTGACTAGGGAACACTGACCTCATTAGATATCTTTGGGAGAGCATTCACCCCCAACATGCTTCCAGAACCTCTGCCTTCAGTCTGAGAGGACCTGCAGCCAACTCACAGCATCTTCCCTTTGCCAGCACCTGCACTGGGCAATGCAGTCCCCCGAGACGATTTCTAGGATGAAGACTCTGCTCCACGTCCTCCACCTCCTTCGCAGCCTCCCTGCTGGGACAGTCCACTCAGTATCCTCATGCCTCCTGCACATGAAGCCCAGGTCTCAGGCTCCGTCAGCCCATTTCAGCCATGGAGCCCAAGGACACAGAGGCTGCAACTGACTGCAGGGTGCTGGCACATTGGGGGGACCGCAGTCATGACTCTCGCTGGCCAGTAGGGTGCAGCCAAGGGCTGGAACTGCCTGCTGTCACCCATGCCATGGAGGACAAGCAGGCAAGGATAAAGGACCCAGTGTTGTCTGTCAAGGTGTAATACCGTGAGCTGCTCACAGCAATCCTGAAAAACACCTTCCCTCTTCCTCCCTACTTAGTGTTCACAGCCTGGTAAAAACTCACCCTGTGTCAGTCCTAGCAAACTATGCGCAGAATGTATAAAACAAACCAATGCTCAAACCTCCCCAAGAGACTCCTTAGCTTCACTCCCTAAAGCTGAATGGACTAAAGATAGAAAATGTTTTCCACTGTGACAAATTTTGTCAAGGCAATCATTTCTCCTATGTGTACTTTATTAAGTATATGTTGTATGTATTATTTTATTATAATTACATTAACATATATTAAAATGTATTGATATATCATTAACATCAATACATTAATATATTTATGTATTAATGTGACTGGTATATAATAGCATATTAATGTATATTAATTGTATAATTATATTATACGCATTATTTCTTTACATGCATTATTTCCTTTTAACCTCACCAAAATTCTATGACATGAGACCATCTACAAATGGGCAAATAAAGCAAAGAGAGAAAAAATAAATAACCCAAACTATCAAGATGTCATACTTGGGGGCTATTCAGGTCAGACCAACTTACAGTGGTGCACCTTTTCTTCATTGCAGAGGCAGGGAGGCAGAGAAAGCCACAGGAACAGACAGCCTCCATCCACTGGGTCACTCCCCGGATGCCCACAATGGCCAGGCCTGGGTCAGGCCAAAGCCAGGAGCTGGAACCTCAGCTGGCGTCCCCCAAATGGATGGCAGGAAGCCAGTCACTTGAGTTACCACTGCTGCTTCCCAGGGTGTGCAGTAGCATGGAGCTGGAGTCAGAGGCAGAGCTAGGTACTGAACCCAAACGCTCAGATACGGGACAGGGGCATCTTAACCACACCTGCCCTAAACTGATGATTCTAACACCTACACCCACCCCAAAGCAGATGCCAATATTCTGTGAATTCCCAGCATTGTGATGACTGCAGAGCTACCTGGAAACTTTTAAGAGGGAAAGCTCTCTTCGTATTCCAGAGATTTCCACATGTGCCAATGGCCTGTATGCAGGCCCTGCAGCCGGGCTCCCGAGACCCATGAGCACACCCCTCAGACCTTGTTCAGAGCTCTCACCCAGCTGTTTCGCCCCTACGCAAAGGAAGGCAGCCCCAGAAGCCATGCGTCTGCTGACTTTATGTCCTCTGTCCCACAGCTATGCCGTCATAACCACTGTTCTTGATCTACCCTCCACTCTATCTGCCTTCACTCTTCCAATCCTCACCAACATTTAGTCACTCAGTAATTCCACGACCAGGTCAACCCCATCCATACATGTAAATGAGTGTGCATGCACACACGTGCACGAACCTGCACACACAGCCCACACAGTTTCTACCTACATGCTTCCTTAGTCAAACCCTTGATGTCAAGACGCCACTCTTGTGAGAATCTCACCAAGCTCTCCTTTCCTCATTTGTAAAATGGTGCTACTGGACCATTCTTACAGGACTCCGGCAATAATTAAATGAAATAATTCTTCAAAAGTGGCTGCCACAATGTGCAGCCCTTTGGGTACTCTCTAAATTACAGCTGTCACTGCCATCCTGACATCCCCGGTAACAGGTGTTGTGGTCACATCCTCACTCATTCAGACCTTCCCTTATTCACTCACTGAATGAGTTCACTCATTGCTTCAGTGGTTCTGGGGTCCAGCCGCACAGAATTCCCAGGAGGCTGCTCTTTATCTCCCTGGTGCAGACTTGTTTCAGAAAGAGGACAGGGAAAGGGACAGGAAATGTACAAAGAAAGATCTGCTGGGCATTCTATTTGGACCAAGACTCTGTGGGATTTTCTAATTTCATCCTTATGGTACCCTGATGTAGCAAAATCTTCATCCCCATTTTAAAAGATCTATGTTATTTATCTGAAAAGCAAAGTTACAGAGAGAGAGGGAGAGGAGAGAGAGGAAGAGGAGAGAGAGGGAGAGAGGGAAAGAGGGAGAGAAGGGGGGAAGGGGAGAAGAGGAGAGAGAGAGAGGGAGAGAGAGGGAGAGAGAGGGAGAGGGGGAGGGAGGGAGAGAGAGGGAGAGGGGGAGAGGGAGAGGGGGAGGGGGAGAAGGAGAGAGAGGGAGAGAGGGAGAGAGGGGGAGGGGGGAGGGAGAGAGAGAGAGAGAGAGAGAGAGAGAGAGAGAGAGAGAGAGAATACCTCCCATCTACTGGTTCCCTACCCCAAAATGGCTACAATGGCCAGGGCTGGGCTGGGCTGGGCCAAAGTTAGGAGCCAGAAGCCTCATCCAGGTCCACATGGCTGGCAGGCCCCAAGCACTAGGGGTATGTTCCACAGCTTTCCCAGGTGCAACAGCTGGGAGCTGCATCAGAAGCAGAGCCTCTGGGACTTGAATGGGCACCCTTAAAGGAGTCTGGTGTTGCAGGCGGCGGCTTAAGCCACTGTGCCACAATGCCAGCCTCCCCAATCCCCTATTTTTTTAATTTTTTAAATTTATTTTCCCCCCAAATAAACCTTTTACTTAAGGAATACAGACTTCGTGCATTTCGTAAGTACAACTTTAGGAATATAGTGATTCTTCCTAGCATATCCGCCCTCCCACCTCTCCTCCTCCTTCCTCTCCCATTCCCAGTTCCATTCTCCACTAAGATCCATTGTCAATTAAGTTTATACACAGAGGAACAACTCTATACTAAGAGTTCAACAGTTTGCATGGTAAACAAACAAACAACAACAACAACAAAACCTGTTCTTCAACAGTGGAGACAAGGGCTGTTCAAAGTCATTGCATCTTGAAGTTAATTTCACTTTTTTTTTTTTTAGAAACTTAATTAAGGGGGCCGGCGCCGTGGCTCACTTGGTCAATCCTCCACCCGCAGCGCTGGCATCCCATATAGGTGCCAGGTTCTAGTCCCGGTTGCTCCTCCTCCAGTCCAGCTCTCTGCTGTGGCCCGGGAAGGCAGTGGAGGATGGCCCAAGTGCTTGGGCCCCTGCACCCACATGGGAGACCAGGAAGAAGCATCTGGCTCCTGGCTTCAGATCAGCGTAGTTCTGGCCGTAGCAGCCATTTGAGGGGTGAACCAATGGAAGGAAGACCTTTCTCTCTGTCTCTCTAACACTATCTGTCAAATAAAAAAAAAAACTTAATTAACTTTAACAAAGAACCCAAGAATGATATATTTCTTGTGAGCACTTAGACATAGTTATAATACAATTCACTAAGGACAGAGGTCCTGCATGGAAAGCTAGTACACAGCGACTCCTGTTGTTAATTTAACAATTAACACTCATGTATGATGTCAGTGACCACCTGAGGCTCTTGACATGAGCTGTCTAAGCCGTGGAAGCCTTTTGAATCCACAAACTAGGTCAGTATTTAGACAAGGCCATAAGCAAAGTGGAAGTTCTCTCCTCCCTTTAGAGAAAAGTACACCCTTCTTTGATGACCACTTCTTTCCACTGGGGTCTCACCCACCGAGATCCTTCATGTAAGATATTTTTTTGCTACATTGTCTTGGCTTTTCATGCCTGAAATGCTCTCATGGGCTTTTCAGCCAGACCAAAATGCCTTAAGGGCTGATTCTGAGGTCAGTGTACTATTAAAGTGATTGTCATTCTATGAGTCTGCTGTGTGGACTGCTTCCCATGTTGGAGCATTCACTCCTTTTTAATTCTATCCATTATTATTACAAGACCCTTAATCCTATCCATATAATCACTTTAACACTTAAAGATAGTGTTTTTCCACCCAGCTTAAGGGAATTTGGGGTCTCATGGCAAGTTTATTTATTTATTTGACAGACAGAATTACAGAGAGAGAGAGACAGAGAGAAAGGTCTTCCTTCCGTTGGTTCATTCCCCAAATGGCTGCGACGAACATAACTGCGCAGATCCGAAGCCAGGAGCCAGGTGCCTCTCCCTGGTCTCCCACATGGGTGCAGGGCCCCAAGTGCTTGGGCCATCCTCCACTGCCTTCCCGGGCCACATCAGAGAGCTGGACTGGAATAGGAGCAACCGGGACTAGAACCGGCACCCATATGGGATGCCAGCGCCGCAGGTGGAGGATTAACCTAGTGCGCCACGGCACCAGCCCCTCAAGGCAAGTTTTTAAACTGTACCCTTGTAAGTAAGTCCATAGGAATGTATACAGAACTATACAGCTTCACAGTTACAAACTTCATACACTTCATAATTAGAACTTCAGGAACACGGTGATTCTTTCCACTGTGCCCACCCTCCCGTCCACACTCCCAACCCTCTTCCTCCTCCCTTTCTTATTCCCACTCTTATTTTTTACTCAGATCTATTTTCAGATGACTTTATATACATATATTTAACTCTATGTTAATTAAAGAGCTCAACAAATAGTATTAAAAAGAAAACAAAACTATTCCTCAACAGTCAAGACAAGGCTGTTCAAGTCATTGCTTCGCAAAGTGTCAATTTCACTTCTACAGACTGCCT